CCAGTATGATTCTTGGTGTCTGTGCCAGTATCATCCCCTTCCCAGACCACAACCAGTCGCCTCGTAATACCTACCAGTCTGCTATGGGTAAACAAGCTATGGGTGTGTTCTTGACCAACTTTGACCAACGGATGGAGACGATGGCGAATATTCTCTACTACCCGCAGAAACCGTTGGCCACAACGCGGTCCATGGAATTTCTTCGATTCCGTGAGCTACCAGCTGGGCAGAATGCTATCGTCGCCATTGCTACCTACTCCGGATACAACCAAGAAGATTCGGTCATCATGAACCAGAGCAGCATCGATCGCGGTCTCTTCCGTAGTCTGTTCTATCGCACATACACGGATACTGAGAAGATGGTTGGTCTGACTGTTGTCGAGCGGTTTGAGAAGCCTATGCGCTCGGATACGATTGGTATGAGAAAGGGCACCTACGATAAGCTCGATGAGGACGGTATCATTGCCCCTGGTGTGCGTGTCTCAGGAGAGGATATTATCATCGGAAAGACGGCCCCATTGGCACCGGACGCCGAGGAACTAGGCCAGCGAACCAAGGCACATACCAAACTGGATGTGTCGACGCCACTGAGAAGCACTGAAAATGGTATTGTGGATCAAGTCCTGGTCTCTACCAGCAATGATGATCTCAAGTTCGTCAAGGTGCGCATGAGGACGACAAAGGTTCCTCAGATCGGAGACAAGTTTGCCTCTCGTCACGGACAGAAGGGTACCATTGGTATTACCTACCGGCAGGAAGACATGCCGTTTACACGCGAGGGTGTTTCTCCCGATCTTATCATCAACCCGCATGCTATTCCGTCTCGTATGACAATTGCTCACTTGATCGAGTGTCAGCTCAGTAAAGTGTCGGCATTACGTGGATTTGAAGGTGATGCAACACCTTTTACTGATGTTACTGTTGATTCAATCTCTCGGCTGCTTCGGGAGCACGGTTACCAGTCTCGTGGCTTCGAAGTGATGTACAATGGACACACTGGACGCAAGCTGGTTGCGCAAGTGTTCCTGGGACCAACGTACTATCAGCGTCTGCGCCACATGGTCGACGACAAGATCCACGCCCGTGCCCGTGGACCGACTCAGATTCTGACCCGGCAGCCTGTGGAAGGTAGAGCCCGTGACGGTGGTCTGCGTTTCGGAGAGATGGAACGTGATTGTATGATTGCGCACGGTGCCAGCGCCTTCCTGAAGGAGCGTCTATTTGATGTCTCCGACCCGTTCCGTGTCCACATCTGCGATGACTGTGGACTCATGACCCCAATTGCGTAAGTTTTCCCTAACCCTTTGCAGATAGTCTGTCTGCATAACAATAAGCACTAGCTAACCGATAATTTCGCGTGGCAGGAAACTGAAGAAGGGACTCTTCGAGTGTCGACTGTGCAACAACAAGCACAGGATCTCGCAGGTGCATATTCCGTATGCAGCCAAGCTTCTGTTCCAAGAATTGGCCGCGATGAATATCGCCGCTCGCATGTTTACCAACCGTTCTGGCGTGTCCGTGCGGTAAGGAAGATAAGGGCACAAGTGGAGTGGACAGAGACAAGAGGGTTTTGTACAATCTTCGTTCTTTTCTTTCTTATGACATGACCAAAACTATATTCGCTTTCGTCTCAGTCGCCCTTCTAATTATCTACGTGTTTTCATATTCAACCCCCGTCCCCTTTCTTTTTGTTATCTCGACGGAGAGAGAACAGATTGATTTTCTATTTTTCCTTTTGGCATTTCTCTGGCGTACAAAGGATGCAAGATGGACTGTCACTTATCTCGACTCGATACTACTGTGATTTACTTGCGACCGCTCTGAAAAATGGGCGCTGAAGGGGAAGTGAGTGCCTTGGTTCTTTTTCTCTTTATGTACTCAGCGAAAACTAGAATCACTTGGACAATGTTGAACTGCTTTTGTCATCTCCAGCAGTAGTCTGGTAGCCATACACGGCTGTTATTAGAGGACAAGGACGTCGACAATGGTGAGGATATATTGACTTCCCCTCTTTCCATGCATGATGAATTGTCCTGAACCTTAAAGGCTGCTATTGATCTGTATGTCTATCCTGCAGGAAGCGAAGAGCTGACAGTGTGCATAAGGGCAGCCCGTGTGGTTGCTGAAGGGAGGCCTGCCAGAAGCCTCCATTGGTGATGCCCTCATCACAGTGGATAACAGGCGCCAAATCCAGGGTGGTGGTTGGTGCTCTGCTCTGCTATGTGGTTGGTTATTGGAAGATTTTTGAGCCCCTCCTTGTTGTAAAGAAACCAATCATCTTCATTGTTTACCCGCCAGCAAGAGGAAAGTCTCCACTCTGACAGCTGAAGATGGGCAAATGAATGTGATGATTGGTTGCGGCAGTAGATATCATCTCCACCGCCAGTCATGTTCTTAGAATAGCCTGCAGGTTGATGCCATCCAACTCCCTCGTCCTACTGAACACCAACAGTAACCGGGAATCTACTGGATGTCTGGAGATTGAGAGTGCCTTAAAGGTGCCGCAGTCGCTGTCTGCTTGACGAGCCTTCTCTCTTCCTTCTCTTTCTTTCTTTCTTCTCCAGCAAGCTTTTGTTGGTTTGAGCTGCCCTTAATTTGGAAGTATCCTGTGCACTGGTTGCACTGGTTTTTGTTATTGTTGTTATTACTGCTTCTATACTACTAATTACTTTCACACCCCACTATATCGAAAAATCCTCAAATCTTCCCTTCCCCATTTTACTCTATCAGACGAGCTGTGCTCTCTGATGATCTTGTTGATTTGCCCTTGCTCAGGATACTTCTAGATTATACAATCTTCTTTCCTCGGTTCTTAATCCTCGTCGCCGGCCGACGTTGTTCATTATTAGCCGTTTCCAGCTCAGCCTACTTGCTCGGATCTTCTCAAAGAACTTGTTTCTTCTCTTTGTCAAGGTCTTACTACACTTTTAATCTTTTCCGATTCTAATTCTGCCGTGGACTGGTTCCCGTCAGCCTTGAAAGAGAAAGAAAACGTACTCGTTGTGAGCGTTGCACCGCCTGTCAATCCAACAGACTTCGATCGAATAGACTCTGGCAGTCTTTTACTCGAGGCTCTGATTCAACGATTTATATCGACTTGCTCTTTCAACTTCCCATATAATATAATCTTTAGTTTTACGTCAATCATCTACCGCCACAATGACCGCCGTTCAACTAAAGTTCTCTCTCCGGACTTCCTCCAACGTCAAGACCGTCCATCTACTCGGCTCCTGGGATAACTACTCTCGTCAAATTCCTCTTTCTCGGGATGATTCCAAGCCAGGCTTATGGGTCGGCAAGTTCCGCTTCCAGACGTCCATGCTGAAGCTGGGTGGTCGGTACTGGTACTACGTAAGTATTCGCCGCTGCCGAACTGATGAGGGAAGTTGACTAAACCTTGGTCTAGTATATCATGGATGGATACCATGTCTCTCACGATCCCGCCGTCGAATACACTGTTGAGCCCACCACTGGCCGCAAACTCAACATCCTCGATGTCCCCGGTGGCAAGAGCTCCAACCCTGCTCCCAAGACGCGCCGAGGTTCCAACGACGTTGTCAAGGGCCGAGCTCTGTCTCCATCCAAGATCCACCACCCCAAGCCTTCCAAGCCCTACGCCTCTCGACAGATCCGGGAGACTGACTTTGTTCCCACCATGGAGGACCTGACCAGGCGCTTTGCCGGCTCCCGCATGTCCGACGAGTACTCGTACTCCAACAGCCCACCCAGCTCCGTCGGCTCTTCCCTGTCATCTCGGTCTTCTGGCAGCACCTCGCCGTCGTCCTTGTCTTCCATGAGTGACCCGCCCACACCCATCTGCCGCTGTGAACGGTACGGCATCACTCGCAAGGGCGACCGTGTCAAGCTCGACTGCGGTGGTAGCCGCTGTGGCTACGTCACCGAGTCTTCTGAGGCCAGCTGCTCCGAGTCTGACAGCGATGAGGAATACCGCCGGGCTCGTACTGCCGTGCGCCGTCAAGGCATCGTTGTGCGCAGATAAATACGTTGATTCTTCTCAGTTCCCCGTATCTCCCTCTTGTCCTCTCAGGAGGACCTATCCATCACAGAGACGGGAGATCGACTATTTACCTGCGCCTCGGTCAATGCAACGATATCAACTTATCGTTGGTCTCGGCAATTTTTCGAGCAATCCGAATTGTTTAAGCAAAACTATAGTCACTCCTTTGGCATGAATTATGTGATGCATCTTTTTCAGCAGAGAAGAATAAAAGAGAAAAGAAAATAAAAAAAATAAGAAAGAAACCTCTTCAAAAGGAGACGGTCAACCCGACCAGAGCCTCATCGTTGACGGCACGAGGGCAACCGGACTCGCTCCGTCCTTGCGACCTCACCGTGAGGAGGAAAAGGATATATGCGCGATTGATAATTGTCCGCTCCATGCCTCATTCATCTTGTACGGATGAGTTATGGCCAGGCGGAACGAATGTTGATGACTTGTGATCTGGACGGCTGTTCTCTGGAGGCATGCAGCTTGCTACTACAGACCATACCCTAGAGCCCAATATATAACGCTGTCCAGATAAATGAGATTACGACGAAATGTTATATTTGATGGAAATATATTCTTGACTCTTTACACTCATATTGTAGCTATAAGCAGGCAGGTTCCGGAGTATATCCGAATCATCCATCCCTCAAAAGTCAGCAGTAGACCGCGAGGCAGGCGTCTCTCGTCTCTCACAATCTCACACAACCGTAATCCGTCCTGAAGAAATTAGCCCGTCCATCTACTATCGAATAAGGATCCAGCACAATGACAGTATCCCTCGATCCCCCACTAACAGTAACATACAAATAAGCCAACGGCAACCAAATCACCACAGGCATCTACCTCCCCCATCAACCTTCTCAAACTACACTGGCGAGAAACACCGTCCCGTCCGTAAGCTTCCTCCTTCTTTGCCCTAAGCAGCACCCCTGACAAACTCAAACGACAGTATCAACATCCATGGTGGAGGCTTCACGCTGGCGACTCGCGCATGTCCCGGAGGAAATACAATCTTCCCGCGCTAGACAAACCCTCCCTGAACAAAACCTACGAGGAGGAGTCGAAGCTCGTGCCCACTAGCAGTGGCGTAACTTTGGAGGGTCAGCTTGAGACACGCCCTGACCTCAGCCGGCCGCGGGGCGCATTTACGTTGACGCAGATTGAGAACGGGAGGGTGCTGAGGCGTGTTACGGTTGCCCCGGCCATGTTCATGGCCATGGGGGAGACTTCAGGGCGATTGATCCGGTGGAGATACTGGAAAGAAGGTTCCGGCGACGTGGATTGTGCATTGGGATGGGGATCGTATGGTTCCTAGAGGTCAGTTGGTTTTGTTGGGGAGGCTGAAAGAGAAGAAGGTGGAGTGTGGGATGACGGCTGTGCCTACGAGGACCGTAAGTTTGCGACGGGGATGCAGGTCGGTTCGAGGGCTTGGGAGCTGCAGAGGGAGGGGTTGTTTTTGGAAAAGGGACTGAGAGGAACTTGCAGGTAGACGTGTGTCTGATGGCTATCTATCTATACTAGACTGGCCAGATAATTGTACATGAAATGAAATGAAAACCCCGAAATGAGAACGCTGGCAACGAACGTGTGAAAGTATAATGATAGAAAACAGCGCCCATGAAATGCGAACTCCATCCCATGCAAGCTGTGTATAACGTTTTTTCCGCCAAAGCATGTCTATATCAATCCAATTATACAGAGCTCGAAGGTGTTCATATCCCATGCCGCATCGTGTTATCCATAACCTCGGTCAAAGCTCGCCGTGGATCCAAGTCGATTGGGAACAAAAAAGAAAGAGTCGAGTGGTCGTCAATGTAAGAGAAACGAAAAGGCCCAGATCCAGCCGGGACGAATGCATAGACAAAGAAACATTGTTGTTGTGTCGTGGGTTCAATCGATGATTGCCAGCCTTCAAGGCTGACCGTGTCGAACAGTGATGACAGCTCCGGGCTGCCAAGTGAAACAGTCGATGAGAAGGCAAATAATCGCAGACAATGCACCGAGATCGGCTCTCAGAGCACAGAAGAAAAGTTATTGAAGCTAGCACTGCGTTCAACGCAGCTTACTCCGGTATCCTTCACGAAATCAATATCCCTTGGAGTACCCCGTCGCAGAACGATTGCCGCCAGTAGATCCATTCCGTCTCGCAGAATGTTTCTCACAGGCGTATCCGACCAACACCGTCTTCACTTGCACAGTGTGGCCCCGTTGAGCGTATGCTTGACATGGGTCGACCGCGTGTTCAAAGTAAAGACACCCACACACCGAATAACGTTCCACGAGCTGATAGCACATTTCGATAGGTCGGGATAGAATGTTCAGTATATGCGTCGGGTGGATGACGACGTCCAGCGTAGACAGTTGCGGATAGAGAAAGTGCTGTTGAACGAATGCTCAAGAGAAGAAGCAAGAGAGAAGACAAGAAAAGACTCAATGTATTAAAGTTTGTCGATGCCACCCAAGGACAAACAAAGATTAACTCCGTTGGGAAGAGATTATTTATATGAAGTTGAAGAACTCAGGCGACCTCAAGGATGTCATGACAATAGTCAAAAATAGGACGAAATGAAAAGGGAAGCCGGGTTTCATCAAGGCTGCATAGCCTATTCAATCTGCAAGCAACCCGAAAGCAAGTGCGGACCGAGTTTGATGCAAGGCATCCATTTAGGTCTTAGCCGGGACTTTTTGCAGTTGTATCGAATATCGTTCAAATCCGAGGAAGACAAGTCGTGAACTGCAAAAGAAAAAGAAGTTGGAAATAGGTCACTGGGCACAATCGACACCAGACCATATCTGATTTTCCGCAGGTCATTCCCGCGGACAAGACCGGGGCCATAGTTGATCAGTGGGGTTCCATTGTGCTGAAGGTTGGCAATTTGCTAGCCCTGCTAAACGGCCGAACCGGTTGGCCATGTTGCAGAACGTTGTACCGACGGCGATGACAGCTGATGCCGAGTTCCAAGTTTGGATATCCACCGTGACGGAGCCGTTGAAGGCTAGGAGGCTCTAAAAACCCTCAAGGTTGCTTCAAGCGGAGCTCGGCATTCCTTAGTGCAACATCATTGGTCTGTCTCCAAGCACGATCTCGTGCTTGCAGGGGTTTTCAGCTCATAGTGCCATGGATTTTGGAGGCCTTAAGGCCTTATTGGACCATTGCCTGAGAATAGGTCGAAGTTATTTCTACTTGCAATGATCGGGTAGCCAGTAAACATCGTCAACCGTTCTATTTTTTGTTCTGCTAGAGACTCATCGAGTTAGTCGCTCCGTTAGCCACCGCACTCTCGAAAAAAAGGACTTCTTCTTTCCTGGTTGACAAATTGCTCGAGGTGGTGCAAGAAGATGACAGAGTGATAAAAAGGACTCCGCAGGTTCAGCTTGCAGTTGAGCCTCGATATTAGCAGAACTATCGGTGAGCATGGCCATGCAGGATGATGCATGGGCTTGAAGAATTGGTACGAGTCGGACAAATCAGGTGCTTCTCCCTCAGCCCTGTCCGTTGAGTCACAGACCACTGCCCGCCAGATGCGACTAGCCTCAGGGATGTCCGACCTGGTCTTGACCCTTGCAGCATTCTCCAAAGACAAGAATAACCCGCAAGGCTGACCCGAGGAAACGGCGGGGATTCATTATCCTATCTGAAGGGCTGAACCGTTGTAACCCCCACATGATCTGACCTGACTCATCGTCTAGCACATGACATCATCCAATCAGTGGAGTTGCAATTCTGCCATCCAGGACTCGGCGCAGTGTTTCAGTGACTGAAATAGTGATTTGGTAAACTAGAAGTTGGTAGAATCATCGTTGCATAATCACATCCTCAGCTTGCGTCGTTTCAGTGCTGCTCTTCGGGCTCATTGTTCCGAGATCTAGACCGCTGTTCATTGATTCTGACGTTGATCCCGAAGCGATGTATTGCTTGGCCTGTATCTTATAAGAGGGGTACATAGCGCTCATTTGGAGGGTCCGAGTTCGGAAGATCATCATTGACTATGGGTAAGCTCTGCGTAACAGAGATTGCATGCTAAGGAGTTCAAGAGGCACCTTGAAGCGCTTTGTCGGTGAGATCATCAGTTTGTTCCGAGGTCAGTCTGAATTTTGATTATCAATGAGAATCACGGACGATCCTTCGATGATATGACGATGAAAAGTGTGCGGCAATGATGGGTAGCGGAAGAAGTTAAGATGAACTGGAAAGTTGTTGTGGCTAAGTTATTGCTATTGATGCCTGGGGAACCCAATGCTTTCCGTCCTGACTATCCGCGGACTGTCATTGCTACTATCCTTTTCTCACCCTCCATGAAAGGTGGATCGTATGGACGTAAGGTTCAAGTAGATGAAAAGCTATGGATCCCACAACTACACCTACAAGTACATGCTAGACAAGACCAATGCACTAACCGCCTCTATTAAACAAACCCCAGAGCACCGAAGCTCAAGCCTCGGGCTAATCCCAACCGTAACATCTTGAGAACTTCCTCTCCCTTGATATCCTCCGGTAAAGCAGCTCGCCAGTCCCATCCGCGCTCGTGGGATCCGGTTTGAGCTCCATCTCCGGGACGAGGAACCAACACACCTGAGCCGGTCACAGATCCCGAGCCAGACATGGTTCGGTTCCGAGCACTCTCGATCATATCACTGCCAATTAAGGAAAATGTGCTGGATGCGGTGAGCGAAGATACAGATTTCTTCAAAAGTGCCCGTGGTGACGGCGGCAGAACGTAGGATTCAGCGGAGGATCGACCGCCGGATGATGCACGCTCAGAGGAGTGATACTCAATGAGCGCAGAGCGGAAACATTCTTCGCACTGGGAGTAGACCCGGGGTGTGACCGTTTCCAGATCCTCAATTGCGGAGAGAATAGTAAATTGTTGAGACATCGAAAGAACCGGAGTGTCTTCTATCACGAAGTCAGCCTCTGAAGGTCATGGCGTAAAAAACAACTATCACTTACGATCAATAAACGGCAAGGCCTCTCCCAAGAGTGTCAGAAGCCCATCCACTTGCACCGCAGAGTCACGACCAGGATCATAGAGTCCACCGTAGATACTATCTGCGGCGCTACTGATTACTGCAACCAAAGCCTGGGCTGCTGCCCTACGTCTGGCTAAGGGTTTGAACCGAGGTCGCTGTCCCTCCTTGAGCCCGATCGCTTCATCTCGTATCTCATAAAACCGACGTAGAGTGGCATATCCGCTGAAATAAAATTGGAGAATGCTTGCAGCGTCCTCGTCGGAACCCGCAATCGCTGAAAGGCAAGTCTTTGGGTCTCTGATCAATGCCTCCAGCTGCTCATCGAGGTCTGCAGATGCGGGATATGCGCGTGATTGAACCAGGCTGTACGAGATGAGTAGGTCGACAACCGACTTCACCTTCCGACGGCTGTGTGCGCGAGCGTAACACACCAATGCCAGACCGTACTCATCCGATTTTTCCACCGTTTGATCACCAAATCGCTGCTAGACGGTCAGTTCATGACCAAGAAACACAACAAGGGTAGGACTTAGACATGGGCGTACCTCAGACACTCTCCTTCCTTCCTTGTCCAGACCAAGTTCGGAGCAAAGTAATACCACTTTGTCCAGCTGCTCAACATTGTCAAGAGGGATCTTGTCAAGTAATTCCGAAACACTCTTCTGCAATGTTTCCGCGTCATCTAGACGGCTCACAACTTCCAGAGCAAGCTCCCAGCCATCACGGACGCCGGACGTGTGCTCAATCGTACGTCGTTTGAACAAGCCGAGCGCATAGTTGCTTAGAACGTCATCCCTGCGAACTCGCTTGTTCGGCTCATTCCCGTTCTGACCGTACGAGAGGACCATCAGGTCATTCTCACTGAGACCCGGCAGCGGCTTCGCTCCTCTCTCTGTATCGAGCCAGCCACCAATCGAGGCGACCTCAGCCACAGCCGAGGCAATGCACAATGACCATGTTTGAATCAGCTCAAGCACACCGTCAACGTTGCCCTCGAAGACGGAAGCCAGACCGACCTCAAGACTACTCAGCGGATTGACCCTGAAACTGGAATCTGCCATTTCCTCGTTGATAGCGCTACGGAAGGCAAGATCCAGGCGCTGCAGATAGGCATTAACAGGGTCTTCGTTAGCATCGCGGAACGCCTGCGATCTGAACATGCCGCTGAGGGGAACATCGCCCTTCCCTTGCGCTGTCTCATCATCCTCACCGTCCCACCAGGCCGTAAGCGCAATGGTGGCCTCGATCCAGTCTTGCGCGAGGCTCAGAATGGCGTTGGCGTCACCGAGTATGATACGATACAGACATCTCAAACTTTGATAGATCGTCCAAGGCACACGGCTT